ATGGCCAGCAGGGGGCAGCTCTGTGGGGGGCAAAAAAGCAGTCTTATGTCTTATGGAGAAAGGACCCTACTTCTTACTTAAATTATTAGCTAAGTAAACAGTTTACTAATGAGTGAATGGTCTCAGTCTCTATATGCTTTAGGCAGGGCTACCTTGTGATTGACAGGTCATTCTCAGTGAGTCTGTCCAGCTCAACACACCAAACTCAGATCAAACTAGGCAGTGCTGATCAAATATGAATCGAGATTATGTTACTGTGTTACTATTTCTCAAATTTTATTTTACAACATAACATATTTCAGTATACTGTTACATACTATACTATCTGTGACACGAGAATGTGTTTAACCAGGTGAAGCTGGCAATAAGCACAACTCAACTCACAGTACGTCACCGCTGCTGGCAGCAAAAACCAACATGGCGACGGCCCTAATGCAGAACTCAAGGCTTCAAAACTGGACACCACAAACCAATAGGTGACATCACAATATGTTCACATTTGTGTATTCCCCATGTGCTTTAAGACCATCAGTTTTACCTGCCTTCAACATGAGAGGAGAGGTCAGACACATATATCAGTGTATCATCAGCATAATAGTGAAAAGAACTGTTGTAATTGCAACATTTCTTTTCAAGACAGTCTTGAGGCAGAGGTCACTGGAATCTAATTTGGCATCCATTAACTTTAAAAAAACTACATTCATCACTAAAACCAGATGGCCACCTACTGTTCTTTAACCTTTTCACCCCTCTATCTGCTCTTGACATCCTCCTCTCTCTCTTTCTCTCCCTCTCTTAATTTCTGTTTCTCCCTCTGTGTGTTCATACAATAACTGATTTGTTAAATTACATTACATGTATTTAGCTGATTTTCAGAGTTGAGTGTAAAGTCAGTTACTTTTTCACTTTGCAGCATCTAACTTCTTTAATTAGATAGAGACAACACAAACACACACCACTCCCCAAAGAGGCACATATATGATCACATCTGCTTTGGTTCAGCTCTCCCTAATGCATACTCACAGAAGCATGTAGACATACACACCTACACATGGCGATTAACTGAGACTACAGATAGAGTAGGGAAATTTGATGAATGAAATATCTTGTATCAGGAAGCACTTTATGGATAAATGATTACCTCTGTTCAATTGGTGTCACAAGGATGAGGAACAATCTTGTGTTTGATTGCAAAAATGAAATTATGATCCACAAATTATTCAGATGATCAGCATTAACTGCCAGTCAGGGCTGTCCCATCCTTGTCATGGATGTTTTTCACAATTGCTAAAACACTAAACTCCATCATGATCAGGCCTGGCATCCCATCTATGTCATGGTTTGGTCAGTTTTCACCCTGCTTTCTAGATACATGCAGAGGTAGGAAGTAACAAAGTACTAACTTCACTTCACTTCTGGTGAAGTCTGGTGAAGGCAATTTCTATAAGGTCTGCATTACAAACTGATGGTGTGGAGTATGAAAGATTTACCAGGCAGGGAGAGTCTAATCACAAATGCCAATGCACCGTATCATTGGCCTATTCCCAGGCTTGTTCTATATCCAGGACAAAAAATCTCGGCCTGTTCTGTACCAGTTTGGTGTATTTTGTTTTAACCCGTCTCTTACAAATCCACCAATTTGTGCAGTAACATCCTACGGGGTACCCTTTAATTGGAGGATTTAGGACCCTTGCTCAAACCATAAAAAACAACCCCAGAGCAAAAGTACACAAACTTTAAACATAAACAGTAAAATTTCCAAAATAATATTATTTTTCTTTCCTTCATCCTCATCCCACCCCATTACAAGACAACCACAGCAAAAAGGCATGTTCTTAAATAAAAATGTGAATGCTGCAGTAGGTCATTTTTATAAAAAAAATTTTTTGTCATATTTGCTGGATTTTCACTGGTGCAATGCATTAAAGATAGTTGACTGTTAAGTCTTATTCCCAGGACTTCAAATATCAACGCTGGGAATAACACTCAACAATCAACTATCTTCAATCCTAAATCCCAAAGCGTCTTTCTGTCTTTCCTCGCTCTGATTGGTTGTTTTCGTTCAGGCCCGGTGGATTCTTGCAATACCACTAGAAGCACTAGGAGG